TACTTGAATGGACCGCCACGCCTACTCCTGCCCCACAACATAGGGAGTCAGCCACAATGCAATGCAGTGCGTTCTGGCCAGAATTGGGCCGGAACACACTGTATCTGGTGTGAACGAGGCCTAAGCATGCTGATCTTAAAGAGTCAGGGTTCCAGTCAGGTAGACAGAACAATGACTGAGGATAGATAAAACTCCGATAATTAGGATAATCACAGACAACTTGAGTAAAATCACAGTCCAAACAATTCACAGGAGTCATTCAGGGCATAAACGGTTATACACACCTGAATCCAGGGAATTAGCAGACAGACTAACCTGTTGATAAGACACAGGATGAAAGTTCAGAGGTCTACTTAAATATTTGTGATTAGGACCAGTGTTTTACTGCAGAGATCTGAGTTGCTGACTAATGACCAGCAGATGGCAAGGACTCAAGGCTGATAGTTATGGAGGGACTGTAGTCTTTTTAGTGTTTTTAGATATACATTTGGAAAAGATCAGCTAAATGTAAAAAAGTCTTATCAAAGTGTGTTCATGTTTTATGTATAGTTTGTAGTTATATACTGTATGTATGGGGCAGCCATATCTACTGATAATTAAACACTTCCTGCTGACCATCCTACCTCACGGCCTGTGATAAAAGACTATCTGCTGTCTCTAATGATTTCAGACTTCCTCCAAAGCACCTGATTGCCAGAGACCATGGCATCTTTTCTTAGGTTGTAAGTTACATGATGGAACTCAGATGAAGCTTTTTTTTTTAATTAAAGAATGAGACCTTGCATTGTTTATAATATTAAATGAAAATACTTTTGTATTTGACCTCTTTGAAGAGATGTCCACTTGATTGAAGTCAATAATTTAATTATAGTTATAACAGACACATTTTTTTATTGCTGTATTCATTGCTCTGTGACTTGTAGAGTGCTCATTATCTGCTTCCTATTAACAACTTTTGCATCAATAAACACAGCTTTGTTTCACATTGATTGACAACAGGCTAGTAGCTGTATTAATTTCAGCCTGGTGTCAGTCCACCAAGGATAAAACATGTCTGATATGTGCCTGGGAGAGGAGCACAGTTCAAGTAAATGTATTACTGGAATCTTCATTCAAAACAAAACTGGTGGATTGCCTTAAAAAAGGGTTCCCTGCCCCAACCTTTCCCCCTCAAATAAGTCCAGTAAGCAAAAATAGGGAAAGAAGGGTTTCTGGAGAGGTATAAAGACAGTGACCATATACATACATAAAAAATATATCAAAATGTATTGAACATAAAACTAATAAATAGGTAAAATGAATCTAATACATGGAAACTAATGCTATCCGAGAGTTTTAGGGCTTGCATATGCCAAGTGAACACATTTTCAGTCCATACACTTAGATTTATGTAGTCAGGATTGTGGAGCTATCCTTCATACAGTATCCAAATACATGTCTAGCTTGATTCGTCCCGACGCGTTTCACCAGTGGCTTCTTCAGGGGACCAGTGTATATATTGATCTGGCAATAAAAAGATTTTCTTGCATAGAATTAATCTCTTATTGTATGGTCACATAGGGCACATAGCAGCATTGTACAGTATATAGCTTCTAGAGCAATCCATTATATTGTAAATCCCCGCATAGATAGACACCCCCATCAAAGGTGAACACCCGGCACTCACCAGGCACATTGAGTGCCTGGAAAGGACCTATGTTGAGAGGACCGAGATGACAGTGCGGCCAGGACAACCTAGCCATCACTCTCAGTCCCTTGTCATACCTGGGACCTCGGGGCCATACTGAAAGGAGTGCCTGGGAATCACAGTGGAAGCCCAGCTAAATCCGCTGGGGAAAGGATCTGGAATCTTAACAGTTTTCTATTAGCTCCAAACAAGTCACATTTGCCCATGGTTGGAGAATGGGTCATATATATTTGACCATATGTGGCTATACTTTTGCTTAGAGTAGGAAGGGGTTAGAAACTGCCAAGTTGTGTCCATGTAGATTTTCCCTCCCTTCCTGTCAAAGGGACAAACTGTCATGCACTGACATTTGGGGTTATGATTGAATGAGGACTGAGGAGAATTTTTATAGGAACCACAGTGAAAACCTGGACAAAAATGAAAGCTAGGCGCTGAACATGAATTTTTGGTGAATCAGCCCAATTAAAACAGGGTACAGTGGTTCCAGTAAGGTTGTTCTCCACAAAACTGGATGTCCCTTAGAAATAGGGATGCACCGATACCACTTTTTTAAGGCCGAGTACGAGTACTGATACTTTTTTTCAAGTACTCGCCGATACCAATTACCAATACTTTTTCTTAAAGGAACGGGTCAAATTTTTTCTAAAGCAATACAAAATCATGATTTTAGGTCAGTTTCTTAATATTATGAAGAACATGAACATTGTTTGGAATCCCAGATTCTGGATCTAAGCAACAAACTGGCAACACTGAGGAGCATAAACAACATGGAAAAGAGTCTGGACTTAACGCACCAGGCTGTCGTGGAGGGGGGTCAGGCTGAGGAGGGGGGGTTGGAGCAGCGGGATCCAGAGGTGGGTAGATGGGTTACTGTTAGAAGGCGGGGGAGGGGGAAGAGTGCTAGAGAGGTCAGCCCTGATCTGATTCACCCCAATAAATTTGCCAAGTTGCAGGATATTGGGGACATCAGTTCAGGGGGGACACTGC